TCTCTCTCTCTCTCTCTCTCTCTCTCTCTCTCTCTCTCTCTCTCTCTCTCTCTCTCTCTCTATCTATCTATCTATCTATCTATTTATCTATCTATTTATCTATCTATCTATCTATCTATCTATCTATCTATCTACTACATGTGTTTTGGTGTCATCTCCCCAAGTGAAATGAAACAATGCAAACGTTTAACAAAGGTAGTGTCTTTAATGTCGTCCTTGTATGGAATGTTGTTGTTGTTCTCGCAAATGAAAATAGCAGTTGGCGAAATCGTGAATACCCTCAGACAGTCGTCGAAGCAGATGTCCACCGTGTGTTCATTGGAAATCGTCGTTGCGGGGTGGATGTTCAGTCATTACAATTGGACATTTCAAAATGTGTTGTTTTAATTTTTTGCTTATTTCGTAAAGTTGTCGATTCCCGGGTGGGGTGGCGGTTGTCAGAGGTCTTGGTGGCAATGGTGGAGGGTTCGTTAACCCCTCCCCTTCCATATGTATGCTATGGTGCTGGGGGGGAGGGGGGGGTTCGTGGCGGGGTACATTCGTGGCCGCGAGGGAGTTTTTTGGAAGGCATCGGGGACGGGAAGTGTTGTGGGGGCAGGCTTTTGGGGCGGGGGGAGGGGTTGGGGGTTGTGGGTGGTTTGGGAATAGTGGAATCGGGGGAGTGCGGGTGTTCATGTCCATTCGCGTGTCGTGGCTTCGCGGTTGCCGTCCTGTCGTGGTGGCGCGCAGGGTCCTTCCCTCTCCTGAATTCAGCAAGGGTGGCGACAAGAAGGGTGGTGGGATGACAAATGCACACCCGCCTACCCTGCGACCCTTCACCATTCGTTTGGCCGTGAGCGATGACCTCTACAACACCATCGTATCGATGGAAGGGCGATGGACACCTGGATAGTGGTCCTTCCTCGCCGTCCACCCCGCGTCACACGTATTTATAAGGATGCGGGCATCCTTGCCAACTGCACGATTGGACTCCAGACGCCCGATTTACACTCGCTGTCTTGTCGTGTCACCATCTCGCCTTCAACTGCTCCTGCCTCCTCTCAGCGCTTGTTCTTCCCTGTGGAACAAAGGTAGTCGCCGCGGAGGGTTCACCATCTGCGACGATCCCCACCTTGTGGCGGGTTCGCCACCTTCTGCGTGTAGTACTGCTGAGCCTCCCACAAGCTGCCGCCTTCTGCGCGCATTCCTCACCCCACAACCCCCCGCCAATCGTCGCCATCATCGTCGTTGCCGCCGTCTTCACTGTTGTCGCCGTCGTCGCCGCCGTCTTCGTCGTCTTCGCCAATGTCGCCATCGCCTTGGCCGTCGTCACCGTTTTCACCATCTTTGATTTTTCGTGCATTGCCATCGTCGTCGTCTTTGCCGTCGTCGCCATTATTGTCGTCGTCGCCATTGTCGCCATCGTCACCATCATTGTCGTTTTCGCTGTTGTCGCCATCGTCGCCATCATTGTCGTCGTCGCCGTTGTTGCCATCGTCGTCTTTGGGGGTCATCATCAACATCGTTGCCATCATCACCATTGCCGCCATCGCAGTGAAGACTATGTTTCTGAACGCAGGGCACGTTTCGCCATCGTCGCGGAGAGTTCGACTTCCCGGCTGATCAATCTTGAAGTGTTTAAATTGGTGCCATGTCGTCCCACGGTGTTGAACACGGCAAGTCCGCCACGAACAGGGCAGTGGAAGCACCGGGAAGGGAGAAAAAGGGTGGTCACACTGTCAACAGGAAGAGGAAGGTCGTCCAAGGCGGGCCTTTTGTTGCAGGTTATAACGAAGATGACGAGTGGGTGGGGGAGGGCGTGGCGACGCAGGAGGAGAGCGACTTCCAGGAAGAGGAGAACCAATGTTGAAGAGGAGGTCTTTCAGGCGGACGGGTGAAGGCATCCGAATCGAAGAGGGGGGCTGTGAGGGTGGCGAAAGATGAGGCGGAGGAGGCCGCGCAATTGTGGAAGACGCCATCGACGTTGACATCGCGGCGAAATCCAGGGAGGGCATGGCAGGTGGCATTGCACAACAAATTCGCGTGCTCGTGCCACATTTGAATGACGCCCCGGACGCACATGAGCCTGCTGTCCACACACGAACACCAGCAACCCCGGGGTCGAGGACGACTGCAGACGTTGGCGACACTTCGTAAGTCATCGGTCAGAGGAACGGGAACCGCTCTCCTGCACAGGAGTCGCACGAGGCCGCACCAGGGGGGGCTTCACACACGGGGGAAGGCGCGAGGGCAGGGGCCGCAGCGGGGGTGGCTTCACACGCGGGGGAAGGCGCAAGGGCAGGCGATATCGCCTGAGTAGGGGAGGATGACGAAGCGCTGGTGAACAGGATGTGACAGCGGAATAAGCGGGATGGAATGGAGGCAGCGGCGAAGCTATGGGTGGCCGACCTCCGCTTCTCGAACGAAACCGAAGGGAACGCCATAGTGAAGTTGATACAGGTTGTGGTGGTGGCACGGGGAGTGCAGCCTCCGCCCGTTCGTCGAAGCATCGGCTTGCCTCATACCACCATCCCGCAACACAAAATCAAGGACGAAACGAAGTTGAACGCTACCAAGGAAAAGGGCGCTGAAGGTGCAAACCATCACTTTGCGGGTGATCCACGGGTGGGTCTTCAAGTCGGCCAGCAGGCAACGGGGGTACTACACTGCGTACGGGTACGCATTGAAAAGTGAACAACGCTGCCACTGACATCGCTCGAGCCATCTGGATGGGGGAGGACTGGCATATATATGTGAGCCCCATGGTCTTCCACACTACTCACGACATGGACATGAAGTTGCCACTGTGGTTCGTCGCCGCAGAAATCGAGGACAGGCATAAGGATGACGAGTTGGCGTCGTATCAGGAGGCAAGCATCCAGTGACAGTTGGGGGCTTTCACGAGCGCCATGGGCATGGCGGAGGGGGTCAACGGCGGTCGGGTGTCCTACGAAAGATTGAAGAGCATTGTGGACGCGATGAGGATCATGCTCGCGGTGACCATGTGGCTCATGCAGATGAGCGGGGATGATCTTCGCACGCATTACGACGCGTGGCTTTTCGTCCAACTAATAGCGAAGCCAATGCTCGTCGCATCCATGCATCGCTCATTCCATGCGCGTCCCCATATCCTGCAAGTTGCGACCATCATCACAGACAAGTTGGCGAGACCCCCCATGACTTTGGTGGACCCTCTGTTGTACATCCCCGACTAGGCGTCTTGCGGCGTTAAGTTCTCACATGACGCCAACTTGCCTTCCCCCATGAACGCCAAGAAGCTCGATTGGCTGGGTACAGGCCCCCCGGATGAGGGAGAAGAAGAAAAAGTCGATGACGAAGCCGACGGGGGGGGTTGATCAAGCATTTATGGCGCCCGTCTACGACGTGGCCGTCGAAGATTTTCTGGAGTCTTCTAAAACGGGCGCGTAGTGGACACGACCATCGAAGAAAAAGTCGATGACGAAGTCGGCGGGGGGGGTTGATGAAGCATTCATGGCGCCCGTCTACGACGTGGCCGTCGAAGATTTTATGGAGTCTTCTAAAACGGTGGGATGGGGGATNTCTCTCTCTCTCTCTCTCTCTCTCTCTCTCTCTCTCTCTCTCTCTCTCTCTCTCTGTGTGTGTGTGTGTGTGTGTGTGTGTGTGTGTCTCTCTCTGTCTCGCTTACACACACACACACAAATGGAAGAACGAACGCAAGCAAGGACGCACACACACAAGCACGAGGCACGCGGGCAAGAACATTATTAAGGAGTGCACAGAGAAGATCGGGTACGGAAATGGAGCAGAATAACGGAGGAGGGAGAGGGAGGAGTGAAGGAACAACATACAGTCCCTGTACTGGACTCCGGCGACGAGGGTGAGACTGCGCGGGATGATGGACTTGGAGGTTTTCCGACCAACGTGAATGACGCGTAGCGGCGTAGGGAGAGAACAGCCAACAGCCAACAGCCAAGCGCAGCGCTCGTTCTCCTCACTCCCAGCCTGTGCAAGCTTCCAAAGAACACCGGTATTTCCCCGATCCTCACAATGCTCAAGGATGGCGCCGTTGCGGCAATACACACACTCAGTCTGAGAGAAACAACTCTTTACGGACGAATACCGCTCCAGCACAAAAACAAAAAATTGTCCTTCGGCGGGACATCCGTTGATATTGGTGGAACCCCAAAAAAAAAAAAAAAAAAAAAAATGGTGGAACGATACGGAGAAAGAACATTAGCATGTCCCGCCGTGCGCAAGTACGGATGACCCCGCATAAATCGAGAAATGGTCAAAAACAAAAAAAAAAAAACTCTCTCTAATAAAAGAAGTCCCCGCTCCTTCAGAGAAAACGTTCTAACAGCAGCGTTGAGCTACGTCAACGCCCGAACCTGGACTTTTTTGGGGAGATGTGCAGAAATGGTGTTGAGTTTCCTGAACTGCACGTCTCCACAAACACGTCCAGATTCAGGCGTTGAGGTAGCTCAACGCTGCTAGTGGGACTTGGCCCCCGCTCCCCCCCGCCGGTGCAAGAGCACGACTCGGAGCCTTTCTACGTCGCGCACATGTAAGCGAACAACAGCTCATAGTCCCTGCACACGTCAGACGGAAGTGGTCCATCTTTTCAGGTTTTCGGCGCCAAACTAAGCTATTTTCTTCTCTCAAGTTCACCTTTTTTCCCTACCTATCTACCTACCTACCGCCCACTACTCCTAAAGCCTACACGGCGGACTTCTGTTGGCTCTTTCTTTTTCTTTTGGTATGAAAATTCTTGGTTCTTAAACCTATTTTGCCTCCTTTTTTTTATGGATCTTCAACACTGAGCCAGGCTATGATGAGCATGTGTCTTTGACTACCGGCTTCCGCCGAACACAACGCATCCTCATTTCGACTGTATTTGGACGGAGAGATAGTCTCTATACATTCAGAATCAGGGTGCGTTATGTTGGGGGGAAGACGGAAGCGGAGATCAAGATCGCACGGGGGCGTTCGGAAGTGTCTTCACATGGCGGGAGGAAGTTGGCATTAAAGTTTTTTTTTTTTTTCTTTTTCTTTTTTCTTTTGTGGCACTAAATTTCATTCGGATGCTGCCGACGTCGCCGTGTACCGGCGATCCCCCGCGCTGCCCCGCTTTTCCCCGCACTTCCCCCCGGCGCTCACCCGCCGAGATCCCTCCCTCGCCGGCGGGGTGAGCAGCCAGCAGCCAGCAGGGCTGTTGCAACATCATTTCTTTTGACTTCAACAGGAAAACGGGGCGCTCGTTATCGTTGACTTCAAAATTTTGTGTGGGGGGGCAGAAAACCGGACGGGGCCAGATTGTGCACCTTGGCCCCACGGACAATTCATTGGTCGGCGGTCGCGTATTGTGAACGGGTAGTTTTATGAAGCTGAGCGCGCGGTTCACCTACTTTTTTTTTCTTCTTTTTTTTTTTCTTTTTTTTTTTTTCTTTTTTTTGAAGTTCACCTACTTCTCCCCTCCCCTTCACTGTACTCGGGTTGTTTTTTTTTCCCCACTGAACTGGGCGGCCGCGTGTAATTCACAGCTTATTTATTCTCTTCGTCCGGGGCCAAGCCCCGCGCACCCGAATTCTTGATTTCCGACCCTAGATTACGAAGATCGACGGCCAGAAATGAAGAACCTAAGCTACTGGGACTTGGCCCCCGGTTGCATCCCGGATCGGAAAATTTCAAAAAGGCCCTCCAGTCTTCCCCGAATTCAGGTCATAATTATAGCTGAATTTGGGGTATCCTCCAGTCTAAATACAGCTATAATCTCGGTGGCTCAAACCACCGTGAAGGGTTTCAGGGTCTCAAGCAGCTTTTGTTTTCCCTACAAGGTCTGCAGGTTTCTACAAGTCTTCCCCCGAATACAACGTACGCTCATTATAGCTGAATTTGATGTACCTTTCCGTCTATGTACAGCTATAATGACCCTACGTTGTATTCGGGGGAAGAAGGGTAGCAGGACATTGTCTGCTTTGGCAGTCTCCTTTTTTTCCTGAGCTTCAAGTTGGAATTTTTGGAAGGTTCCTTTAGGAGGCAAGGGACGCTGGACCCGTTTTCCAGCAGGTATTTTGAAGAAGCAGATGCACCTGGGGTCTGTAGGAGCTTGGCTCGTAAGCAAAACTGGCTGATGCTGCCAGGATAACTCCGGGTAGAATTGTGAGGTCCCCGGCCTCTTCCCATTGCTTTTGTATTACATGACTGAATTCTTCTAAAAAAATAAATAAAATAAATAAATACAGCTATAATGACCGTACTTTCTATTCGGGGGAAGACTGTGGGCTCGTTGGCTGTATTTCAATAGATCATGCCTATATAATGTAGAATTTTCTTATTTATTGATTTTCATTTCTCTTTTAAACTGAGTTTGGTGAAACTTCGACGAAACAGTTTGTCACAGCCCCTCGTTTGTTGTCCTCTTCTCTCTCTCTGCCTACGGTTTTACCGGGCAGTTCTGTTTGTGACGATATATCGTCACAAACAGAACTGCCCGGTAAAACCGTAGGCAGAGAGAGAGAAGAGGACTGTGACAAACTGTTTCGT